CAACAATATAAGTCGAATACAATTTGATGTGTTTTATCGTATATCTAACATTACTTGTATAAAAATTAGGAAGTTATATTTATAAAACTGACTACCTGCAATATTAGATTTTGTAATGGATGAATCCGAATTTTAAAATGCAGACACACCATAGTCATTGTTGTGCTATCCTTTCATACGTAAAAGGGTCCCTCCAGAATTCAATGTCTGAACAAACCCTTAATTGGACAAACTCTAAATTTCAAACTCCAGAATGACAGTTGAGTCAGGATAGCTTTTGTATGGTCCTTATTTCTCTAAAAAAATTGTATAAATATGCCTCTTATGTATATGTAACTATCAAAAACATCGCAGAACGTCTCAAAATTGGTATCTCATATTAGTTTAATTAAACAGTGTGAGTCCTTCTCTTGAATTTAGGATCACAAAGGACAACTCTCTTGAAGTTTTGAAAGAGAAACTGGATAATATCTTGCATTACCCAGACAGTCAAATGATGGTTAAGATTGAGTATCGCTCACCCTCATTTGATAACGAAGGAAAGTTGAAGTTCAATAACTTTAAGTTGATCACGGATGACGATTTAAGAGTTATGTGGAGTATATTTCATAATTCGTAAAGAAAGGATCTGATCAAAGTGGATATGAAAGTGGCAAGATCGATCAAAGATATTTTAAAGATGTTGAAACATCCTCTGATGTAGGTGAAAATTTTAAGCCATCCAAGTTTGTTTCAGGCCCAAAAACAACCTTTTAATATTTTTTTTTTTCTATCTATTTTATTTCTATTTACAATTAAAATTTCATTAGGGTTCCTTTTATCTATATTTATTTCTATTTTGGATTAAAAGCCTATTATAATTTATTTGCTTCTGTATTTAAACATTTTTTGTATGAGTCGATCATCTTTTTAGACAATAAAATTCAGATTTTTTTTACCTGGTGGATTCCAGAGTTTATCTGACGGGTTTTGTGCTTGCAATTTTGAGTTCTCATTCTAGGTTAAGCGTTTGCTAATCCCTAGGGTTTTCGATTGAGTTAGGTGGAATCAGAGCAGGTTTTCTCCTATTCATTTTTGTAACTTGATCACCCATGGAAGATCAACCGATGACCATAGCAGATCTTGATGGAATTATCGCGGCTTTTACTGCGACTCTGACTGCTTTGACTGAATAGATGGCGAATTTATAAAATCAGGTGAACAATGCAAACAACAACGGGAATTAGTGAAGAGACATGGGAGGAGAACATGTTAGGGTTTTGCAGGATGGAAATAATCACCATGTTATTATTTCTAAAAATTCGAGTTTTGAAGAAGAAGAACCCTACGAAAAAAAGGTAGTTGATCACGCGAATCGACATACCATGATTATCGAGTGAAGGTTGATATTCCATTATTCTTTGAAACAATGGGAGTGGGTTAGTTTCTAGATTGGCAGGTCGTTGTCGACGGGTTTTTTAACGATATGGACGTCCCTGAGAACAAGCAAGTTAAGATGGTGATGATTAGGCTGGAGAGTATTGTTGTTGCCTGGTGTGATAAGCTTGTTATTAAGAGGTAGAAGCAAAGAAAATGGTCATTCAGATCTTGGCGAAGAATGAAATAATTAATGCTGGAGTGATTTTTATCAAAGGAATGTGAACAAATTCTTTATAAGATGTATATTGAGTGTGTTCATGGAAGGAGAACTGTAAGAGAATACACAGTTGAGTTCTTGTGTTTCTCTAAGCATAATGCATTGAGAGAATCAGAGAACCAGAAAGTGACTCGATAGGTCCTGGCTGAGGCATCCAATCTATATTTGAAGGCAAATTTGATGGATAAAACCCTTGAAATTTCTCACCTTTTAGGTATTCACCCCAAAATAAATTTGAATCAGTAGGCGACAAGGAAAAGAGTGCAACAACTAAAGATTTTAACTTTGAGAATAAGGGGACTAGCAGCCTTAGCGGTGTCCAAAAGGGTAAGCACTAGATCAGAGGAAAAATAATCCATATGTTGAATCCATTGGAGACATGTGTTATCATTGTAATGGAATAGGGTATAGATCAAATGTTTGTCCAACAAGAAGAGTCGTTATTGCGGAAGAAAAGCAAAAGGAAGAGGAAAGAGTAAGACATGCAATTGAGAATGATAAATATGTAGGGGTTGAGTTTGAAGAGGAAGAATATGATAAGAGGGTAAACTTTTTGTTATAGAGAATTTTACTAGATATAAATATGAAGTACAACGCAAGAATTTATACATTGTCCTATCAAAAACAAGGTGTGCAATATGACTGTGGATAGTGACAGCATAAAAAATCTGGTTTCACGATAATTGGTAGATTATTTAAAGTTGTCCATAGAACCCCATGAGAAGACATACACTCTCAGTTAGATAAGCAAGGGCTCCTTAATTCGAGTAACACTAGCATCTAGAGTTCCTATCTCCATCGAAAAGCATTACAAAAAAGGTACTTTGTGATGTTCTAGATATGGATGTTTGTCATATTTTACTTGGTAGGTCTTGGAAATTTGATAATGATATCACTTATCGAAGACGGAATAATGTGATGATGTTTACATGAGGCACACATAAAAATTTTATGGCACCTGTTTTGCACTTTGATAAGAATCTAAGAGTAAAGAAGTCTAGTTTCTTGGTGATGACAAATAGTAAAAAGGACCTTGATGAGCCTGTTAAAGAAACTAAATTTTTCTGTCAAGTGGTGAGTAAAGAGTTGGTGAATGTTGTAAAGGAGAAAACAATAATTCTAGAAGAAGTGCTAGAGATCCGAGAATTTCAAAAAATTGACCATAAATCATCTACCAAATGATTTGCCTCTTACGCAAGATAAACACCGAAAAATTAAATCCTTGATGTGATAGTGTTTTTGCGTAAAAAGAGTTTTTTAGTTGGTGTTTACAGCAATATGCAGCCACGCAAGTATGGCTCGTTCACAGTGAACCGAAAGATCGTTTATATTGCTTATGTTGTAGCTCTCTCGGATTTCATGAATATACCTAATACTTTCAATGTTGTTGACATTAATGAATATCAAGCAGGTGAGACTCTTTATCAAGAAGAGAACTCGAAATCAAATTCTTCAGAGGTGGAGGAGACTCATGTATGAGGGCTTTTTAAGCCATCTGAATTTGTTTCATGCCCAAAAATAACATTTTTTATTTTATTTTATTTTATTTCTATTTTAGATTAAAAGTCCATTAAGATTTCTTTTTTCTATTTTATTTCTATTTTGGATTAAAAGCTCATTAGAATTTATTTTCTTTTGTATTTAAACATTTTTTGCGTGAGTCAAAGATCATCTATTTAGAGAATAAAATTCAATATTTTTTATGTAGTGAATTTCAGATTTTATTTAATAAATTTTGTGCTTGCAATCCCGTGTTCTCATTTTAGATTTAGCACTTATTAATCCCTAAGATTTTCAAATACGTCAATCTTCAATCATCTCTAGATTATGAAATGTGATGTTAAATTTTATGTTAACACCGCATATTTATGTTAACATTAGAATATGGTGTATTTAAGTAATAGTATCATAGAAGAATTTGGATTATAAAATTGAATTATTTTTTAACATTGGCTTTGGTATGTTTCATGAGAATATTGTATATTTCAAGCTCATTCAGATGAAAAAAAATTAGAATTTAGAAGTATTTTTAAAATTTCACATAGGGTGCGAAGAGTAATCTCATAAAAATTTGTCATGTTTTCTTAAAAACTAAACTTATAAAAAGACTTTAAAAATCAGCAAACTACTCCATCATAAATGAGTATTTTCCCAGGCACCCATTACATTGTATCCAGCACAACAACACTTTTATTTATATAAAAAAATAGTCTCTGTTTAACACCGATTATTTCAAAAATCCGACATAAAATCAATCTTAAAATTTAGTATTTTATGCCGAATATTTGAAAAAAATCCATTACAAAATCGCATATTTTATAAAAAAAATTATGATTTTACATCAGATTTTTCAAAAATATTACTAAAATCGCATACCCGATTTTTGATGTAGTCTACAAGATTTTTTGCGCTAGAGAAAAAAATTTCAACATGTAATTTATAAAAAAATGTGAGTATTTTTTATATGTTGACTTTAAAGGTGTCAAATAAAATACTCATCCAACATTTGTTTAAAAGTGAAGGACTTAAAGGTATTATCACGGACCCGTTTATTATATTATATGTTAACATTAAAAGAATTAATTTTAATATTTACGGAGAGGTTTTTAAGAAAGAGATTAATTATTATGTATTGGTATAAAAATTTATATGATTGCATCACAATCATTCATTTACAATTTAACAATCATAATTCACTGACGGTTATAAAACTTTTTTACACTGTCAGTGTATTTCAATTAAATTCTTTAAAAAAGAGATTAATGCACATGTAAAAAATTTTACACGGTCAATGCTTCATAACTACCCACTAATACTATTTAATAAATAATTAAAATTAAAATAAAGTTAAAAAATCTTAGTAAAAAATATATTAAAGTTAAGAACTATCCATGATAACATAACTTTTCATTAATATAGATATAGACAATAAGTTATATTTTTCTCCTATTAAAGTAATATTTTTCAAAAACTAAAAAAAAAAAATCCATACAAAGCATAACTAAAACATCACAAATAATTTTTTTTAAATCTATGATTTTTTAAAATTAAAAAAATTACTGTGCGTGAAATTTTAAGTGTATAATCTCAATCTATCGATCATAGAATACATGAATTTGAAAAACTTGATGCATTTTGAACAGACATTTTCTTATTCTTCCTTCTGTTTCCTGTTTCGTGTTCTTTCGCAACTATACTATCATCGCATTATAAAGAAAGATTTACAACTACACCCAGACTATAAGTGCTTCATACAGCACAAATGTAAGAACAAACTTCAATTATGAAAAAAACCCGGAGACAATAAACGAATATATATATGAGCATTGTCTATCCATCTGTTTGCGCTAATTTGATAATGTCATCATTTCTCCTCAAAGTCAACATCAATGATGTTAGGGTCTGACTTTGATGCTGAGTTATTTCTACCACCTCTTGTAAAGAAATCCCCTTTACCTTTAGGTTGCCACACAATGTTGCCACAGCTTGTACATCGAACTATTTGGTTCTTGTAACCTGCAAACTGCGTCTTGCAAGCTGGACAAGAGCCCTGTCCAATTACAAAAAGAAACAAACTTTTGAGCTAATTTCAAAGCAAATGGTGTTTAAAATGAAATAACTCAAATGATCATGAACTAGAGCACACATAAAAATAAACTACACATAACTACCATAAATGACAAACATAATATTTTAATCCAATGAACTTACGAATGTGAGTATGGCCAAACTAACATAAATTAATTGAACATACCAAGTAGCACAGTTTTGAATAAAACTAATGAAAACTTCATATAATTGTTTCAAGGAAGATGCTATTCTTGGTTTTTTTTCCGGTAGGAACTGGGTACCCTTTGTGCGCAACAGCAGAGACTAATCCCTCGAGCCGGGGGGACCACAATGGGCGGAAAACCCTCGAGCCGGGGGGACCACAATGGGCGGAAAACCCTCGAGCCGGGGGGACCACAATGGGCGGAAAACCCTCGAGAGAATTCAACATTGCTGCATGCCTAGGGCTGAAAGAAATCCCTTACCATAAATGTTATTCTTGGTTAGATAAAATGCTTGTATTTTAGGAGGCTTGTCCAAAAAATTATGCCGTCTAAGGGTTATTGGCCCCTCAGGATTTTAAAAAATGTATTATATTGGCAAGCATTAGCAAGTTCAGTTTTGTAATATTTCATATTACCATGTCAAGGCTTTTTTAAAGAGAATTTCACATTCCACTTTACTATTTCCCTTGTTTCAGAGAATTATGTTCTAGAGGATGTTATTAGAAAAAGCAAAAGTTCATTGGAATTGAGTACAGCAGTATGCTGGTACTTGAGTATAATTTTCATTCATACACAATAAACATGCCACATATATACATTAAAAACCCAATAGAAATGATACCTTAATAACTAAGCTGTTGGCCAATGATCCAAGCAGAAGAGGTCCAGCAAATGGAAGTACCCATGTTGCAATTATCAGGAACCGAAAAAGCCAGCCAGAAAATGCAAACCAGATGACGAAAAGTGTCTGAAAAAAGAAAATGAAACGGTAATACGGATTGAAAGTTAGTAGTGAGAAAAAGATGAAAACTAGAAGAAATAATATATACCAAAGATCAAATAATACCCAAATCTGTCTGCCTGATTTGAACAAAACTCAAAAAGCATGATAAATGAAATTCAAGACAAATCAAAGGTCAAAGTGATAAATATTCGTTATGCGCACTGTTAGCATATCTAGAGGCAAATAGTCAGAGTTCAAATTGGCTTTTACATGTTACTGGAATCTGGCAGTTACTTCTAGTGTTATGTCCACTAAATTGATAGAGTTAATAGGTGGAATCTAAAATGAATGGATAGAACGTAAATCAGTGTTGTCGATGGCGGATGGCGGTCCATGGCGGAGAGCCAAAATCCCGCCATAGCGGCCGCATTGTGGCGCCGTTATTGCGGATTATGGCGGAAAAACCCGCAATAGCGGCTGATATTTACCATTGCAGCGAGCCCAAAAACCGCCATGTATATCTGCCATAGCGGCCATGGCGGGGCAATTTGATAACACTGATATAAATGACGTTTATGGTTAGTTTTTCCCTTCTTAGGTTTTTAAATAAAAATTAAAAGAAAGTTATCATAATTGAAGCAATTATTAAGAGAGGGAGGACTGAGAGAATCAACTGTAATTAGTGAATGTACATATATCTAAGAAGCCCGGATAAATGTCATACTATAATGAGGGTATAATATGGATACAAGGGTACAGGACATTTTATAAAAAACAAGATATATTATCGGAAATTTCTAAATATAAACATATATACAATAAATAACATAAATCCACAAAATTAAAGAGAGATGTGTGAAAAGGTAGAGCAAGAAAGGAACTTAGGGAAGCAAAACAAGAACATGTGAACTCAGGAAATGTCCAGGTCAGAGCAATAATGGGGATCCATGAGATAAAGCAGTGAGAAAGAATGAAACGAGAACAGTGGAAACAGAACAAATAATGAGCACCAGCTGCACAATTCTGCAGCTCAGAACTTCGCAACTCTGCAGATGAACGATAGAGTAAAGCAGGAAAGGAGCTTGGCAAGAAAATGACATGGGGCGCAGAAAATGTGTGAACCACCAGAACAATGAAGCAGGTACACCAAATACAGAAGCAACTTAGACAACAGAAGTGTCAACCAGAGCAAAAATTAACCTAGCAGTTTATCCAATTACAATCCTTGATTGGTTCAGAGGGGTTCTGTTTTGATGTGCTATGCAACATGGAAGAAGCAACAAGGTTTTTGGGGGAATTGTGAAGTACGGAAACATAAGTCAAAATGGCAAAAAAGTAAGTAAAATTGCAGAGTGTCATGCAGTATCCGGGTGGGAATTGGGACTTTAGCTGGTAAGATGTATCATGTATCTGAGATTTATCTAGAAATTTAAAAAATAGAATTATTGGTTTCCTTCTGGATACATATTGAGACACATCAGGTTGCATATTAGCAGTGTTGGCAAATATCAACCATGGCGAATTGAGGAGGTGGATCTTTTGACAACCGCCGTGGCCAATTTGGGAAGGATGGTGGCACCATGGCGTTTTATGGTAGCATTATATGGTGGATTTTTGCTTTCCCCCATGATCCACCATCCACCGTTGATAACATTGCATAATAGTATCATATACATAAGCCATCAATACTTTTTTTCCATTTTGGAAGTATTAAATAGGTTTCATTGTTAAAACAGAAAGAAATCAAATTGAACCCGCATTCTATCCAATACTCTGATTTCCCCATCCATTCTATCCATATATTTTATATTAAATAGTGTATCGCAAAACGATAGCGGTTTCTCCAAGACTGTACCGGCTATTTAACAGCATTGTCAAGATATTTTGATACCTAAAAATATTTCAGGGAGCCATGTAAAACCTAAAAAACAAGACATTTTCCATGACTCATACATATATCCATCCAAAAACACATAATGCAAACAGGTAAAAAGAAGAACACGAAAGGATGGATACTAACCGTGAAGCTTTTTCCAACCGGACTATCCAAAAATTTACTAATCTGAGCTCTATACTGCAAAATAACCACAGAAAAAAACATAAAATTCCTATTGTTATCACCATTCACAAACACAAAATCAAATACAAAACAAAGAGTAGAAACTAACCTTAGGCCAGTTAAGGGCAAAATCGGAAGTGAAATTCCTGTATTTGACACCAATTTCAAAATCCCTATCAATTTCACGCGCTCTATCAGCAGCAGCGGAAGCAACCGAAGAAATCCGTTGAGAAACAGCGTAACGACGGTCTATGCGTTCGGCGGTTTTCTTAGCTTCGAAGAGAAAAAGCTCGAACTTATCGTTAGCCTTTCGCCACGCTTCTTTCAAAACCCTATCCATATCGTTTGGTTTATTGTTACTGTTGTTGTTGTTTTTGAAACTGACGATTACAGGGCGGAGGCGGCGGCGGAGCGGCGGAAGGAGTGGTTGCCATCGGACTGATGTGCCGGTGCATGTCGTGGCGGTTGCTGTTCCGAACATTTTTTCTTTCTCTTTCTCTCGTTGTTATGTTCAAGGCAAATTTTGGTTCGTTCTTTTCTTCTTCTCACAGTGCTTCCACTCCCTCCAATTTTACACGATAATAATAAAGTTTTAATAATAATAATAATAATAATAATAATAATAATAATAATAATAATAATAATAATAATAATAATAATAATAATAATAATAATAATAATAATAATAATAATAATAATAATAATAATAATAATAAAGTTTTAATAATAAAGTTTTAATAATAATAATAATAATAATAATAAAGTTTTAATAATAATAATAATAATAATAAAGTTTTAATAATAATAATAATAATAATAATAATAAAGTTTTAATAATAATAATAATAATAAAGTTTTAATAATAATAATAATAATAATAATAAAGTTTTAATAATAATGATAATAATAATAATAATAATAATAAAGTTTTAATAATAATAATAATAATAATAATAATAATAATAATAGTAATAATAATAATAATAATAATAATAATAGTAATAGTAATAATAATAACGGTAATAGTAATAGTAATAATAATAATAATAGTAATAGTAATAATAATAATGGTAATAGTAATAATAATAATAATAATAATAATAATAATAATAATAATAATAATAATAATAGTAATAATAGTAGTAATAGTAATAATAATAATAATAATAACAATAATAATAATAATAATAATAATAATAATAATAATAATAATAATAATAATAATAATAATAATAATAATTTCTTTTCTTGAATTTTTATTTAATACTTTCTTTTGGAGTGGTAGAGAAAATAAGAGGAAAAATGCGTGGATTGAATGAGATATTATTTGTTTAAGTAAGGAGGATGGTGGGTTAGGTGTCAGAAGGTTAAGGGAGTTTAATGTGATTTTATTGGAGAAATAGTGTTAGAGGATGTTGGAGGATCTGTTTGGTGGCAGCGTGTGAATAAGATTAGGCAAGGGATTGAGATGTTCGACAGTGGGTGGTTGCTCAATAATATTGAGCTATTTGTAGGTAATGGAGTAAACTCTCTTTTCTAGAGGAATCCTTGGTTGGATGGAGGGGTGTTGATGACTAGATTCAGTAGACTTTATGAGTTATTTGTGTATAAGAAGGCATCAGTAGCAAACATGTTTTCTTTAGGGTGGGGTGGATGTGGAGGCTTGGAGATGGCGTAGGAGATTGCTTGCATGGGAGGAACTGGTGGTGGGGGAGTGTATTTTGTAGTTAGATTTTGTTGTTTTGCAGGATATTGTTTAAGATTCTTGAGTGTGGAGACTTCATGGTTCAAATCGTTATAATGTGAGTAGTGTGTATCATTTCTTGACAAAAGATGGTGGATATTTAGCGTCCATATGATTCTCAAGTTTGGTGGGCTAAAGCGGTGTCTCTGAAGGTAAACCTTTTTGTTTGGCGGTTATATCATAATAGACTTCTGGCGAAAGGATAATTTGGTTAGGAGACATATTATCATAGCTGAGGCACAAAGTTGTCAACTTCGTGTGGTCAGCTTGAGATTAGGGATCATATGTTTGTTCGTTGTGACTTTTATGGTAAAGTTTGGTCGTTATCTGGATGGTTACAATTTGTGTCGGTTTTTCAGGATAATTGTATGGATCATCATGATCAATTTGTGACTTTGGTTGAGTGAGCAAAAGAGTGCAAACAGGTATTTCATATCATTTTGGTAGCAGCAGTGTGGTTGATCTAGAAAATATGGAATCAACAGGTTTTTCATAATAAGAGTATTTCATTGATGACTATATGTGAAAAGGTTGAACTTCAGTCTTTCTGATGGTTGAAGTCTCACTTGTCATCTTTCTATTTTGATTATCAAATTTGAAGGGTTAACCGGTTACGATGTATTACATGTATTGTAGTCTAGTTTAGGTTTTTAAGTGTGTTATAGTTTTTGTTCTAGATGATGTATATTTTCTTTGAGCAGTTCTGCTAGTACGTCTTGTGTTTAGAGAATTGTTTCGTGTTTAATATATATTTTTTAGTTTCTTCAAAAATAAATTATTATTATTATTATTATTATTATTATTATTATTATTATTATTATTATTATTATTATTATTATTATTATTATTATTATTATTATAACAATAAGAATAATAATAATAAGAGTTAAATATATTTTACCCCGCAATGTGAACGAGTTTTGATTTACTCTTTAATTTTATTTTTTTGGATTTTCCCCTTTAATATAAAGATTGTGATATTTTGCCCTTTTAGTGTGTAACTTACTTCTTGTAATGTCAGTGATTTTTTATTTACTCTTCAGATCCAGTGTTCAAATCGTACGTATAAGGGATAAAACAAAAAAAAAATTACATTATAGGGGGATTAAAAAAATTACATAGGATAAACCAAAACTCGTTACATGAGTAAAGTATAATAATAATAATAATAATAATAATAATAATAATAATAATAATAATAATAATAATAATAATAATAATAATAATAATAATAATAATAATAATAATAATAAGAGTTAAATAGGTTTGTGGTTCTACTAAATATCACAAATTTCATTTTTAATCCCTCAAAATATTATCTCCAAAGAATGATACTTTCTTATAAAATTTATCATGCACACTTTTGGTCCCTCCTGCAATTTGGTGATAATTTTTTCAATTTAGCGAAGGTTTATTACTTAGAGGCTGGATTAAAAACACTTTTAGCAACGATTTTTGTATTAAGGATCAAAAGTGTGGATGAAAATTTTAGGAGGACGATTCTTTAAAAGAAATATTTTAGAGGACTAAAAATAAAATTTAAGATATATTTAACCCTAATAATAATTATAGTGATCGATGGATAGTAATTAGATGGTTTAATTTTTTTTCTTGTTAAAAATGAAAATATTGAGTTGAAACCTAAGCGGTTTTTTTAATCAATTATATGATGTGATAAAAATTTAAAGGGAAGAGATTGTAGAAATTCATAACTTTTAGTAGATATTTGTTTTGTAAAATTTACTTTTGGATTTTTAAAATAAAATAAAAATTTTGGATTATTTTTTTAAAATAAAGAACAACACGAGAGAAAGAGATCGTTGACAATCAACAAACAATAACAAAATTAAAGAAAAATAATGAGTTAGAAACTCTACCAAATTAAACTTCTCAATTTTTTCAATAAATATGTTTGATATTGTTGGAAATCCACCAAATATCTATGATGAATTTCTACCAATCTTGATGAACAAGATTGATATCATCATACAATGACAATGAATTATGAGAAAAGAAATGAAAAGAAAGAAGACAATTATTTTATGCAGAGTTTCTCTCTGCCCACAAACTGTGGAAAAACTTTATTAATCACTTGCAACTGCAAATTATGTGATTACAATTAATTGACTTGATTGTCTTGATTACAAAATTAGGGGTTACTCCCTCTATTTATAGATTTAGCTTGCTCCCTAGTCCCAAAACTATTAAAGCCCAAAATATTTATTTTAGATCTAAATCAAATATATTATATTTTAGACTTAAATCAAATCTATCTAAATCTAAAACAAATCTAATCTGTGTACAGCTTGCTTCAATCCACAAGCTCTTCGACTGGGCAATGGCTTCCTTCGAGCAACCTGTTTCGATCCACCTCTAAACCCTTTGACACACATAGTTTCGATACTATGAATTAAAATTTAACACACCACCTAATTCATTGTGTCTAAACTATCTACATTTCATCATGGCTCTTAGTCTTCAAAATACTTCGACCTACACACCATTCGTCATGATGTCTGCAATTTGATTCTCAGTTCTGAAGTGGTCCAAATTCATCTTCCCGTCTTCTACCTGCTCTCGAAGATAGTGAAACCTCATTTCGATGTACTTACTTCGACCATGTGTTATCGAGTTCTTCGCCAGATTGATAGCTGACATGCTGTCGATCTTTATGGTAATTGCTCCATGATCTTTCCTTATTATCTCTTCGACCAAGTTCACCATCCAAGTTGCTTGACATGCACAAAGAGAAGCAGCTACGTATTCTGCTTCGCATGATGATAATGCCACTACTGGTTACTTTCTTGAACTCCAAGCAACGGATGCACCACCTAACATAAACACATATCATGTTGTTGATTTTCGATCTTCAGCATCACTACACCAACTCGAATCAGTGTATCCCACTAACTTGCATTATTTTCCTTTATCAGTTGTAGGAAACAAAATGCCATATTCGAGATTTCTGTTGAGATATCTTAGTATCCTCTTCACCGCTGCTAGATGTGATACCTTTGGCTTTTGCATGAATCTACTTACCATACCTACACTATATGTTAAGTCAGGCCTTGTATGACAAAGGTATCTTAATGATCCAATAAGTCTTCTGTATTGGGTTGGGTCGACATCATCTTTATCTGCATCTTTCGACAGGTGCAATCTTAGTTCTGCAGGTGTCGAAGTTGACTTGCATTCTTCCATCTCAAATCTCTTGAGAATTTCTCCTGCATATATTCTTTGATGCATCATCAAAACTCTACTGCTCTTGTAGAATTCGATGCTAAGGAAATATGAAATCTCACCCAGATCAGACATTTCGAATTCCTTGCTGAGACCATCTTTGAAGTCTTCGATCTCACTTTTGCATCTACCTGTTATCAATAAATCATCGACATAGAGACATAGTATAAGCAATTAACTATTGCTTCTTCTTACATATACTCCATTTTCAGTTGTGCACTTCACAAATTCCTTCTCCCTTAGGAAACTATCAATTTTCTTATTCCAAGCTCTTGGAGCTTGTTTCAATCCATATAGGGCTTTATGCAGCCTGTACACCTTTCTCTCTTCATCATGTTTCACAAAACCAACTGGTTATTTAACATAAACTTCTTCGTCTAATGGTTGATTCAGGAATGCACACTTCACGTCCATCTGACATATGTGCCATCTGTTTATTTCTGCTAGACCAACAACCAACTTGATTGTTTCGATCCTAGCAACAGGTGCAAAAACTT